GTATATACTAAGTTTTAGTCTTTTTAATGTTAATATAACATCCAATATTTTATTGTCTATTTTATCTGAATTAAAATATAAAACGTTAATGAAAAATCAGTGAAAGAAATACTTTCTGCAAGATGTAAAATGGAATCGGTTCGAAGGGAGGGCCGAGAGCGGTGCAAGCAGGTGCGAATTATTTATTTGGTGGCCAGGTGAGACGCGGGCGTCCCTGAATCCGAACGTAACTTAAACTACGAGCAAACAAGCGTCTAAGTATATGCGTGGGCACGCGAATCGCGTGGGTGTCCCTCTTCTAGCTCTAACTATGCACCTAGCTTTGACCCAAGGGCACGACAGTCGATATTGCTCGAGTTCTCTGATGTATTGGGTCATAAGTACCGTTCAAAGGACGCAGGAATGCGTTTAATTTATGTTACGCCGCGATTACTCACGTGTCTCAATAATTACGCGAATCATGCAAATAAAGTATGCTTGCAAATTTCGATGAACGTTTTTCTGTTAACACAAGAAAACGAATTCTCTCGTCAGATTCAGAGAATTTCACGTGTCAATATTTCAGTTCGGTTTTTTAATCAATTAAATACAAGTTTTGATGATCTTACGGAATTTACGATATAAAATCGCGTTCGAACGGATTTCACGATTAAATTTATTATACACGCACGCACGCGTGCGCGCGCACGTGTTTCATTCTGGCGCGAATAAAATATGTATAACGTTTAAAAGGGATGCGGGCAGCGTGATATTGCGTACACGCGTGCGTGACCAGAGCCGTGGCACGAATTACGAGGCAGCAGGAGCGTTCCCAAACTTGGAAATTCGAGACATTCCTAGGCCGTGACACATCCGCGTGTGTGTACACACGTATGTGCAGCACATAACTATGTACAGCGGGCAACAAAAGTATCCTCGATCAGAGATTCACTTTCCATTATTCAATTCAATATCGATTAGCGATTTCTCATTTGCAATTCGTTTTCTCATGGCGAATTAAGAAACCGATTTATTGTAATCAATCAAAAATGAAATTGCAAATTACCTTCGCGATAATAGATTGATTTTTCTGTATTGTATGAAATATTTGTATTGCTGTAATATATCTTGTAACATGCGGGCAATCCGAGGGACTGTGTCTCATTTTTAAAATACTTTCATTCCTCAGTGATGATTTTCTACGATATAATAAATCTTGCGATAAATAAATTAAACGAACGTTAACTTTCTTTGGCAAGTGTACTCGTAATGACCAAAAATCGAGTCCGAGAAACGGGTTCGAGGGGAACCCGTCGCAGCCGTAAATCTATAAACAGCCCCGCATACCTATGGTGAACCCACGGAAAGTTATTACAGGAATTTCAGCCAAGAAAGAATGCGAGAAAGAAGAGAGAGGGAGGGATCGCGTGAGAGCGAGAGAATTTTCCTAAACACAGATGTCGAGCAGATGCCGCGGCACGTTCGGCTGGGAACATGTAACAGTGGAAAAACCGAGCCACCAGTGCTCCAACTTTTAATCGATTAAATATCTACAGATATTTTATCGCAAACTTTATAGAAGATTATAATACATATTTAAAGTTCAAGCTTATTAAACTTTGAACGTCTTTAATAAAGAATGAAATGAGAAATTGAACGTATTTGCTAATTAATTTACATTTGCCAAACCCTAACGCTTGCAAATTAAAAAATGTGGCTGTTAATTCTTTTAAAGTTCTATTATGAAGTTTGATGAAAGATTGAGTAACATCTCGGATTGTGTGTGTTGTGTGTCGAGATTGGAAAAGGAACGAGAGGGAGCTTACGTTAGCGGTTTCGGGGAACGAAATTTCGAGATTTCGAGGAACGCGAAAGTCGAATAACCGTACTTACATTTACTACGTACGCCGGGCACCGGGAGCTTGTTGTTCGCGTGCCAAACGTGCACACAAAAACAGAAACGAACCCGAGGAGAGTTAATTCCCTGCTCGAATTGCCGGATATAATGTTAAAGGGGCACAAGTGCATCGATGCATGCATAAGCTGCTTTCGATAAAAAATTCTCCTATTATCAACATCAGATCAGATTGATTCGCCTATTTTAAATTTAAGTCTGTTTCACGTAATGCGATTCAACATTGATTACGGTATATTTAATTAAGGAAATGCCATTGTCAATTTCAAAATGACAACATCATTTTGAAAATCGATATAATTGGTCTTTCCACTTGCAAATAAAATCGAACTCCAATTCTTTCGTCTACAATTAAAAGCTCGCCTCTTAAATTTTAATGCAATTAATTTTCCTACGATTAAGAACTGTTCCTCTTCTCATCAATTAAAGATTCTACTTCGATGTCCATAATTTTCAACATAATATAAATTGAACCAAGTACCGTATTTATCGAATTATTCTGTATCGCAATAGATTGAATTTTTCCAATGATTTTCCAAACTTTTCCGTTCTCGTTAGGGCATCGACGGTTTTATTTTCGCGTTCCGAGCTCCGCGAGCGTGGTCACCAGATTTCTCGAGTTTTTCATCGACGGCTACGCGGCAGCGGCCCTGGCGACTGGAATGCGGGCGCGGCGAGTCCTCGGTGTGTGTATATGTACCAGCAACGAACACAAACGCGACCACGGCTGTACGTGGATGTACACACGCTCGTGAAACCTTTAAGGGGCGCTCACACCGTGGCTGACCGTTTCGGTGAATCTATTATTGGGTCAGACCGTAATTTATGCGGTTTTTCTGAAAGCTGATTTCAAAACAGCGGCTCGCCACTTTTCTGTATACCAAAGTCAACGGGTCTCCTGAAATTCACCGAATTTTTATGTATTTTTTGCAATACGCTTTTACAAAATAGTACACTTGAACTAAATCCAAAGAGATGATACTTATCGTACGGTGGATTCCATTAGAGGAAACATGATTGGGAACGTTTACACGTTTTCTCATTATTACACGTCATTCGATGACAGACGTCAGGCAATTAGATAAAATCGTGAAAAATACAAACTGAATTAATCATACATAAACAGTAATTTATATTTAATTAATACATCCATTACGTTCCTAACACTTGACCTAATATTTAATCTACATACTTAACGGATTTAATAATAATTGATCGATACACAAATCCTTGTAAAAATCATCCACTGATATGATTGAACACAGTTTTCCTATTATATTCAAATAGAAATTGATACGACGCCTTTCACTTAGAACGAGTCTCTCCTGAATTATTATTATTAAAGTTCCTGTCGTCAGGTTTTAACTAATTTCGTATCCTCACATTTAGGAGGATCAGTCGGCGCATGTTAGAGACCGGGGCAATAAGAAGTACCATAAAACGACGTATTAAGTAAATTTATGGACTCACCTGTCTCTGGGGTCGATCCACGTCGTCTTTCTTGTGTTGTGATCGATGAAGTACACTTTTCCGTCGAAGTCCTGGGCGACGTCCCACCCTTCCGGAAGCGGTATCTCCCCATTCCGTCTCCTTGGCATATTTCACTGCGCTCTAAATCCATCCAAAACTCTCTATCAGCGACCCGCTCGACAGTCACATACACACGTTACCGGCCAAAAGTTTCGCGAAATCCCCCTCCGCCTTTCTTATCAATTGCAACTCGAGATCGCAAATATTACCTCTTGTATCAACTTGGTAATTCAACAGATGTATCTTTGGCATGTTTTTTACTTAATAAATTACAACTATCAACGCTTCCTTGTTTCTTATATCAATTTGTAACACGTGTGCTTAAAATCTGTTTTACATAATAAATAAAACATCAAATATCTTTTCTAGTTTTGTCCATTAAGAGACGTCGATGAGCATTCTGTGCAATAAAAAAAGTACTGATACAGTCGTTTTTAAATTCTCTGGAATCGTGATTGCTCTCGAGTATAAAATTCTCCGTTAACTTTCTTATCAACTTGAACTTGACATTGCAAATATTAATAGAACATCATTTTATCTTTCTGCATTCCACTGAAAAATCTCTCGAGGTTTTATTCTCCCAGATCAGTTTCGCTAATTCCATTATCAATTTCGACGTGCAAATATCGACAAAGCTTTCTACATAACGAATTCTCGATTTCTTCTGGATTTAATTTCTACTTATATTTTCACGTGTAAAATCAAACAGCAACGCGAGGTGCATATAATTGTTTAGAATTAATACTCTTCCATGCATATTTCAATGAAACATAGAAACTAACATAACCTTATAAAATAGAATTATAAAGTTTGTTAACGGACTCTTGATACGAGATATTGAAATTTGAAAATAGTCTCGACTTTTCAAGGTTGCAACATCAGCCGTTGCACAATAGGAATTACACAACGGAATTAATAAGCGCGTCACATTTTGCTCTCTGACGGATATCAAATACTCTATTAAGTCCCTTATCAATTCGAACTTGTCGCGACAAATACGGAATTCCTTTGTCCTCGATTGGACAGACTGTGTGTATAAAATAATTCATTTTAAGTATAATTACAAGCTTTTGGCCGGTAGCGTACGTATATGAGTACGTATGTATATATCAGCGCGCGCGTACACACATTCCATTGCTCATACAAACAGGGAGAGATGATAAAAAGAGAGAATAGGAGAAAGATTGAGAGGGATTCGAGTTACAGCCTCGGACTAGGAGATAGGACACATTTCTAATTCTACAGATAATTCAGCACATGGCTTGATAATAATTTTACTACAATTATCAGTCACCTTTTACATTAATCGACTCCAATACGATTTTCGTCAAATTTTAATTACAATTCCATTATAGAAATGATTTTTCCACTCCATCTGAGAATAATTGTAACATCTCAATTAGTGACAATAATTTGAAAGGACTGAAATTGATTCAGAGATTTGCATAGTCATACAGGAAGACTCAAATCCAATTTCAAATATCTAAATAGAATGACATGTCACAAATTCGTTAGAGAAACTCGACGTATTAAAACGAACGAAACGTCTGCTTGATTAAATATTCAAACTCCTGGCAAATGGTTTTTGCAAGAACAGTTCATTTTACGAGAATACCGTGTCTTGACGGAAGAAAAGATTATGAAAGATTATAACTGCATTGAACGATCGACGGAATGCACGAGTGGAAGTTTAATAAACTAGAAATTGAGTCGTTCGCTGATCAGACCACTGGCCTATCGTTTTATTCGAGGCTGTACGCAAAGAGAAGGCACGCAATAGTGATACACACCGATACGCGGTGGAATGGAGATAGAAAGGATGTGTTGCATGCCACTGAACGCACACACGTGCGCTCTCGCACATACGAGTCGAATCAGAGAGAGAGAGAGAGAGAAAGAGAGAGAGAGAGAGAGAAAAGGAAAGGCACAATAAATAAAATAAGCGAACGATAGAGAGAGAATCACGTGCGTATGTAGATCAATTGTTATTTATACGTGCGTGTATCGATTCACAGGCAAGCTCGGAGATCGCTAAACGAATCGCGAGAGATATTTAACTAAAGAGAACGATGGCTCGTAACATATTTATGCTCGGGGCGAGCGTACGCGCGCCACGAGGAGAGTTTCTAAAATATAGAAATAGTAAGTCAGCGTGAATTTATCAAGGAACGTACGCGTGTACAGCGAGCGCAGCAACTGTCGGCGCATACCAAACGCTTTTTCGCGAGAGCCCAAGTATCCCCACATGGAAGATACTTCTGGAGATCGGTCACCGATCACAGATCTGCTTCGACTCAATGAATGTACGAACGTAAAGATACGCGGAACGCCGTGCTTTTTGTAGCCACTGTACGCACATACGCGAGATATATATAAAGTATGTATACGCATACAAACGGGGGTTCTCGCATTCTCTCTCCCGGTTCGTCTCTCTCTTTTTGTTTGGCCACATACTGTTTCTCCGTCTCTCTCCTCTCTCTCTCTCTCTCTCTCTCTCTCTCTCTCTTTCTTTCTCACTCGCTCGGTCGGTCGCCCGCGCGCAAGTTACTCCGCCATCATGAATACCTCATTATCATGAGCGGAGTGACGTCAGAGTCCCCGCCTTCAGATTCCTCTCGAGCGGAATTCCACCGTTAACATAGCTGACCGTCGTCGAAGAAAAGTCCGCCGTTGGTATCTCGCCTTGAGACGCGGGGTCCTACATTTGCACGAGAGAACAGCCCGTTACATTATCGTCACACTTTGTTTTCTCGTATTCCTCGTGTGTTCCCTCCTGGACGTAGCACCGGTCACTCGTTTAAAAAAATAAGTAGACCAGGGTAGCACGATAAACACCACCGAATCGATTACGTCTCGAATTCGAGAATCACACTTTCACCCTTTCGTCTCACTCGTCGTGCGGTTCACTAGATTCTATTTCACACTCTCACCCTCTTCTCCTCGCCTGTTTACCTGCAGCAGCATCTCGCGAGGAGCGACGACGACGTTTCTCTTCTCGCTGGCGGCTCTCCTGAAACGCGATTTCCCGAAGGACCCGGTGGTTACACGCGACGGCGGACAGGTTCACTCTAAAAATACTTGCGGCACTGGTGCCGGCGAACGAACGGCCGGACACTTACGTACTCGCGAAGAGGCTGTCGGCGGATTCCGAGTCTCGGTCTCGCGGAAATTGCGAGCCGGCGTTGCGAACGACGGCCCAGCGGTCGTTCTCCTTTTTCGTACGGCACGAGTTTCACGGGGCTGCGAAACGGGACAGCATCCGCGACCCGCTTTAATAAAAAGAAACGCACTCACTGACGCCAGTACATTTCACCTGGTTTTCACCGGCGGGCTTGACTCTTCTCTCAAATGTCAGAATTGTCCGCGTTACGTTACGAGCTCCGCTTTTGCTCGCACGCCACCGAGCACTGTGTTACGGTTACCGCGAGGCCAGGCACTTGGGAAACACACACGCGCGCGCGCGCGACACTCGCTGTCAAATTATCCCAGCTCGAGTAAAAACGAGTGAATCGCGGAAAGGGTTACGTGGGGCACGTACTTACGCGCTGCACCGCCACACTTGCTCGTTTCAGGTTTCGACGTTAGCTGAACCTCGCGCCAACTACAAGCATGTCGAGCGTTTGAAACATGCCACCGGACGGACGACGACGACGACGACGACGACGACGACGGATTCGTACCGTGCGCGACTCTCGCCTCGCTCCCGCAAACGCAAACCAGGCTAGCCTCTGTCCTGCTCGCACCGCGTCCCCACCAGAAGGTTCGCTGGTTCGTCTCGCTTCCACTTGCACCCGATCGGCCCTACCACCGCGACCCGAAACGCTCTCTCGTGTCTCTGACCGCTGGTGCACGAACGACGACGGGAACGGACGAACGCCGATGCCCTTTCGACGCCCGGTTTCACATATTTTCTGCTACTTCTACGTCGGCACCACCGTACGCTCCATCAATTCACCGATGTGTGCGTAACACGTGTACACATTGCATAAACGATTCCGTCGCTCCCCACTGCTCTCGAGAGTCGTTCAAAAAATAATGCACATCCCGTGCAACGACTGGATGTACAGAAATATGTTGGATGCTTCTCTCATAATGTTCCATTGAATGTTTCTAAACACCTTCTATAGGTGTTATGCGTCGTCGTTTTTTCCTTTATCGTTTTATCGGGCGGACGATGGAAGTGGGGTTGCGTGGACAGGATTAATGATCGCTGTTGTGCGAAATGCAGGTGCACCGTGCTCCGGGGGACCCGTTGAACATCTGGGACGAATGAATAAACCGCGGCTGGTAATCCGTCGCTCGGCGCCCCCGAGAGAATGTCTCGCTAAGCCGCTGCGGTATTCGCATACTGCTTCCTCTTTGCCTTTCTTCTCTCCCTCTTCCTCCTCCGAGCCCTATCTCTCTCCATTGGAATTTCTGTATCGAATTATTGTATCAATCGACACGAATAATTGATACGACTTGCTACGCTTTAAATGAAACCTTCATATAATTGTTTGTAGAATTAAATCAATTTTGTCCAAGACGAAATTGATCAAAATTATTATGTATAATTAAAAACTGTAAAATCTCTGTAATTTTG